TCATACATTTCAATATTTCTACTTTATTGAGACAGACGAGTGTTTTGCTAATTTTCTCTCGTTGCGTGATACCATTTCAATCTAAAGTTTGAAGTTTGTAGATTTACATATATATTTATTTACGTACATTTATTTACATATATTTATTTACGTACATTTATTTATATTTTTTTATATTCATAAAATATCTTTAAGTAAAAGATCAGAGCTAATTGTTACAATTTTTAATTAGAAATTTTTTCCGGACTAATGTACTTATTTAAATCAATGAATACATATGATTTAAATATATCTTTTTTCTAATTTGTGTCAATGTAATAATATTACAAGTAATAATATTAATAATACTAATACTAATAATTTAATAATTTAATAACGGTTTCAAAAATTGCCACCTTAAAAACTTTTGTAATTAGAAAATTAATGCAAACATAGTTATCTGTCTATTTAAGATGTAGCGTTGAATTGATTTCCGGCGAGATATCTGATTTGTTCGATCAACCGTCGCAAGTATAAATATATACACAAGGAGGAGTTTGGAAACCGATTAGCAGTGTATTCCGAAGCATCAAAACCGTTGGATACCTCGTGCCGTGCTCCAAAGCGAAACTCTGAACAGGCTTCGAACTTGCCGGTCGCTCCACCGCGACATTTATTAACTTTACCAACGGGGAAACTGCCGCGAGTTTCCGCCGGATTACACGGCGAATTAGACAAGCCGGGATTAGCGTTACCCAATTTTCGCGTAGTTTTCATTCCTCCGAAGCGAAAAGTATACCCTGACTGTTTAGATCCTCAAGAGCGCCTCCTTTGAACGGAATGAAATATAAAATTGGATGGAATAAAATGTAAGACCGCTAAATCTATAAATGTATAAAATGCGTGTAATAAATCTCGGTTTTTACGTAATATTTAAAGTAATATTATCTTGTCCTGTCTGTATGTAAAGACGAATAGTTATTCATATATAGACAACTATTTATTACATATTTATGTTAATTCTACGAGAATTAAATTGCAAATATAAAAAAATAGCTGTCTAAATTATAATACTAAGCTATCTTTTTCCTTCTTATTTATTTCTAATATCATATTTGCCTTGAAATTTTTCATTCGTTTTAAATTATTATTATCTTGGACTGATAAAAATTTATCACGAGCATTCGCTATATCTCAGAACGACAAACGCAACCAGCAAGGATTGTGCGACAGAGAGGCCTCGCTAGGTTCCAATTTTCCATAGGAGAGGAGAGGAGATAGAGGATCGAGGAGGAGGATGTCCTCGGATGAGAGGACGCGGAGGGAAATCGGAGAAGCTGTCAACGGAGCGCCATGCATCTGCCACTTACCCGCGCCACCGCCCTCGATCGCGGATCTCGGGGTGTACCTTTTTTCCCACATTGACGCACCACTTCGTCACAATTATCGCCATTATTCGGGCGCGAGAAGAGAAAGAGAGGGAGGAAAGAGGGAGAAGGAGAGGACGCGCGTTTTAACGCGCGCAAGCCGCGCGCACAATGGCCCGATATATCTGTACACCGTATCGACTGCATCTTCACACAGACGCATCGTCTACCACCTATGGACGTGACCCGGGGGTCGTTGCGGGCCACCGGCAACAAAATTGATCGATTCTTCCCTCGATCGCTCGTTTTATTGTGTTTTGACAGCGGCGGCGAGCTCTGGTTTCGCGCAACCACCTCCGATACGGCTTTTAGCATCCCCGCGCGCAGTCCCGGCCGTTCGCCGAGAGATTGATCTTATCGGTGCTCGAGTTTGTGCCCCGTGCGAATTCGAGAGCGTCTTATTTACCACCCTCGTCGTCGTCGTCGTCGTCGTCACTCATCGCCTTCCCTTTTGGCTTCTTCGGTTTCCCTTTGGTAGCACAACGATCGTATCTGATCGAACTAGATATAGAATTACGTGTTCGTTCGTCTGTCGGGATTCTGTTTCGCGCAAGCACAAATACGATCCCTGGTTATTTCGAGGAGGGCCTCCTTTGAAAAGTACGTTTTATCGCGCCTATCTACGCGCGATTTTCACTGTTGCCGATAATGCAATGCCCCGACTACGTAGACCCGGGTAGTCCATCCGTGGCGCGAAAAAGCGCGCAAAGTGGATTATACCGGGAAATTGCATCTTTTTACACGACGCGATATTCGCGCAAATTTGCCGTTAAATGCGGCTCTAAGAGCCATACTTACGTTCAAAACGTTCTTTGTCAGATTTATTTATTTGCGCGTACGCAATTGCCCGGAAACAGATAAGTACAATTAATAAAATTTTCGCTAAATAAAATTATATACCTGTATGATATATACAAGATAGTCTTCCTCGATTAAAACTTTAAATATTATATTAAATCTTATATTAAATTTGGCGCTACTCTACTAAACTACATTAGCGCACTTTTAATTACAAACTAGAGTTGAATTATATTTTTCTTATAAAAAATATGACACGTTAATAATCATAAGTATAAATCTAAGTCATGCGAGGAGAGAGAGAGAGAGAGAGAGAGAGAGAGAGAGAGAAATTTTAAAAAATAATTAAATAAATATACTATAATTTTTAAGTTGTTTTCTACACAAAGTGATTTTTCTTTCTTATGAATACGTAGAAAATATAATTTAAAGAAATATTATAGAACCATATGTATACAATTTAAAGAACAATTTTAGATTCTTGTAATTATATACGCAGTACCTATTAATGAAATACAATTGTCTATCGGGTTTCAAAACCGCGCAGCAATATGGCGTTATTTCCCAACGCCAAAGCTATACAATATATCTGCACGAGGGCTCGACGTCTGCATTCGTTGGCAGACAACGCGATATCGTTATCTGTAGCCGTTGCACGTACGGGATCTACCGGGTGGCGTGTAACTCCGCCAATGGAACGTTTACACGCTGCAACGATATGGAACGTTGTATTTCCGTTGCTAGCAACGAGGCTCACGCATAACGGAGTCACGAATAGCTGTGACGGGGATAACAAGGGTAGGAGGGGGGGGGGGGAAGAGGGGACAGATACAGGCTGCGAATCCGAGCGGGAGAGGGAACGGCGAACTGTTATTTGCAACGAGTCGCAACAATTGCAATCCGAGCCGATCGCGCGCACACGTCGCCGTCCCCGTACCCCCTTCCGGTTGGGTAAAACGCCATATTGCTGCGTCGGATCTCCCACCCCTCGCTTCCTGCGCGATTGAAAATAAGTTTTTGTGCAAGCCGAAACGGCAGATATGAAACCAGCATGGCGGATGCTTACAAATAGTTGCGGGGCGGTGACTACGTATAACGGGGCAACCCGGGCACCTTCGCGGCTTTTGTTTGCGAATCGTGCCACAAGGCTCGAAAGGATTCTCTGACGAGCGAGAACGAGTGAGGGCCGCGGATCTGAAATCGGAGGGGCACCACAAAATTCTCCGATCCACCCGTTCTTTTACCCCTTCGTACCCTTCGTGCGATATCTTTGAACTCAGCGAACTCTTTGAACTCAGAGGAGCTCCGATTTCGTATTGGTTATAAAAAAGTCTAATTGCGAATGAAAACTGATAGTTCAGTGTCATAAACTAATAAACAAACTTTGTACAATCATATTAATTTTCACAGTAAATTGCCAATTAGATATTTGTTGACATTTATTTAATATTTGGACAGAATATTTCTAATGGGAGCTAAAATATTTTCAAGTATGTTTCAAGTTAAATGTTTTCAAGATAGATAAATATTTTCAAAAACAAAGGATACAAACTATACTTAAATATGCTTTTACGTACAATGTAATCTATTTATTACTATTAGGACAAATTAGATATAAAAAATAACTGTATTATTAATAAATATATAAATTAGTTAAATTAATTGTTCTATTATAATATTAATTTTTTAGTGATATATATATATATAGATTTCGGATTTACCAATATACTTTTCAATTAAGATATTAAGATTAGTCTTGAAGCAATTTCAAGAAATGCAATAATAATCGGTTTTATTATATTAAGAAATTATATATATCTTTATATCTTTTAATAATCAGAAAATGCAGATAATATCAAGCTACATTTTCAAAACTGTACTTTCTTCTGTATTTTTCTTGTATCTTTCTTGTATTTTAAAATCAAAATTTTATTTATAAAATAGAATAAAAATGTCAAAATTTTTTACTTGGAAGGAAAGAAGAAAAAATTTCAAAATATAAAATCACAAATAAAATAATTATTAACAAGCTAAATTTGTTAATTATGGCGCACATAATATCATAATACTTGGTTCAAATATCCACTCATTTTACCACACTAGATACGTTGTAGGAAATTTTTACCTCAAATCAAAATTGCAATCCCGCGCAAGCATCAGAATCATAGATAAGACCACTCAATCTCGAAAGACAGTCTCGATTTCTGCCGTCGGGCTCCATGACGACGGAGCAACACGCACAAAGTGAGAGGAAGAGAGAAAGAGCGAGGGATGCAGAGACAGAGAAAGCGGATGCCATTTCCGAAACTCACGGTGCAGCACGCGCTCTGAAAACGGGAAACACGCATCGATCGTCTCTCAACTCCCCGGTCCAGGATCGGCTATGATATCGAGCTATGTTAGGCCACGTAGAGATAAGAGAGCGGCGACGTGGTGCGGCGACGACGGTCGCACCATCATCAAGGCCGTCACCATCTCCACTACCACCTCCGGCGGCCAGATTACGCCGGCCAGGATCAATATCGCAACGTCGTAGGCGTTGACGATCGGTGGTGGGTTCCATTTTCGTCCGACCCTCCGTTCTTCGATTGGAGAACGTTCCGACATTCAGGTTCTCCGTCCCCTACCAGACCCCGGCGCAGGATCTCGACGTACGGGTACACTCGGCAATCCCCTCTTCGCGTCGAATGCCGAGTGTTCCCTGCGCGATGGGCGGGTCTCGTTCGCCGCGGCCGCGCACTGAGCGGAACGAAAAATCTGTCAGCGAGGCAGTCACACACGGCCGAGGATCGTAAATCATGAACAGTCCGCTGCTCGGTGCGCATCGCGACAAACAGGGTGAAAACTGTTGGAAAACAGGGACTATCGCGATCGCCGGCGGCGCGACGTCGCCACCCCCGGAGCGATAATTCGCGACTCCGCGTTGGGAGTCCCGCGGCGAGTACGTACCGGTAACGTGTGGCGAGTTCAGTGCGCGGGGAAGTGCTCGGGATCTCAATTTTCCTCGATGTCGGTTCTCCAATTCGCCAGTTTCATGACCACGTAGTCCAGCGCGAAAAATCATCGCTGACCGCGATCGCGCGGAGCGATCCTCCGCGGGGAGGAGGACGATCAGTAGTGTCAGCCAGGACGATCGGTGTTGAGTCGGCTGATCATCATGTGCAGCAATGAGAGTCCGCCGCCGGCGAAGGAGCCGCTGGCCGTTGGCTTGGGTAATCCGATGGCCAACTTCCTGCCGGGTCTCGAGCACTACCGGCTCCACCTGTATCACTACGCGATGGCGGAACGGTTGCGGCTGGCGCAGCAGATACAGCATCCCGGCGTGGCTCATCCGCCCTCGGGGGCGCCGACGGCTCACCTAGGTATGAGCCCGGGTTTCCCGGCGCCGCTGCCGTTGTACCCAGCGGCCGCCGCGGCGGCCGGTTATCCTGGCCGATTGGCATTGTCCATGGCGCTGTTGCATCCGCACCACCAACGGATACCCGAGGAACCTAAACCCCAACACAGCTACATCGGTTTGATCGCCATGGCAATCCTGTCGTCGCCAGAAAAGAAGCTCGTGCTGTCCGACATCTATCAGCACATCCTCGAGCATTATCCCTACTTCCGTACCCGTGGACCCGGTTGGCGGAATTCTATCCGACATAATCTTTCCCTAAACGACTGCTTCGTCAAATCTGGCAGAAGCGCCAACGGCAAGGGTCACTATTGGGCGATTCATCCGGCGAATCTGGAGGATTTCCGACGCGGCGACTTCCGCCGGCGTAAGGCCCAGCGCAAGGTGCGACGACACATGGGCCTTGCGGTGGACGAGGAGCCAGACAGTCCCAGTCCACCGCCCTTACCTGCCTCTCCGCCACCTCCGACGGCTCTTGGTCCCTCCGTGGCCTCGCAACCGATATCCTTATGGACGCCGCACCACCACCATCAGCAACAGCAGCAGCAGCAGCAGCACCAGCAGCACCAGCAACAACAACAAAATCCCTTCCAGAGCCAGTCCCTTCGACAATCGTCCTTCCAGCCGTCGAGAAAGCGACAGTTCGACGTGGCATCTCTCCTGGCGCCGGACGATCAGCAACATCAGATCGAAGCGGACGTTCTCGGGCCGGTCAAATCGCGCAGGTTCAGTTGCAGCGAAGACGAGCTGCACGATTTGCCGGAGGGCGATCAAGACGACGAGGACGTCGACGTCGACGTGGTCGCCGATGCTAACGCCTTACCGTCGCCGAGCACGCCGCCGTCGGCCAGTCCGGATATGCCCAAGGTCGTGTCTCCGGCTGCACATTGGAACCATCAGAGTGTGCAAAGCGGTGGTCATCAGCAACAGCAACAGCAGCAGCAGCAGCAGCTATCGGCTGTACATCTTCACAATCATCTGCACGTCAGAAACTATTATATTCCGGCCAACTCCGCCGGCGGGTCCAGCGTCTAATGGAGGGCTCAGAAGAAACCAGTCAGTTCGCGCGACAGGTAGCTGCTCGTGTCCGTCGAGTGTCCACGATCTTTCTTCCTTTTTTACTGCGTGATTCGAATCTTGGATGTCCTACAATAACACATTAATAATCTCACATTACGTTGCTTTCTCAAAACAAGATTATTCGACAGATATGATTTTCCCCCAATAAAAATTTGGAGACAGATGAAGTAGATCTCTGAAGAACGTCAGATAAGTTTCGGAAATAAATGACACAATCATATTCTTAAATTAACTTGAACCAAGCTTTAACAGAATTGAAACTTAGTTTCAAAAATATGCAATATTTGGAAAGTGAAAGAGATCATCGTAAATGTGATTGTCCCGTTCGATTAGCAAGTAACTAAATAAATTATTACACGATAGATTTCTTCGTTTTCAAATTGGCATTGCAAAATGAGCGATTAAAGCGAGATACGAGAAGATCTGAGAATGATAAAGATTTAAGCAATAAGACTAAATTGTAGGCAAAAACGAGAATCTAGATAGGAGAACTGTGTGTTACAGTTTTTATTATTTTTATATTATACATATTGTTATATATATTTATGTGATTATATTTATATATTAATTATCAGAGTCGCGCGCGTGTTACAAGTGTTTAGGTCCATATCATTCTCAGTCTTCTGTATTTTCAATCACTGAATTAAAAGGGAAGAACGTCTGAAAAATTTTCGTTAAATCTTTGAAATTATCTATTGAAAATTTATACTGACCGGATATGAACGTGACGCGCGTGACAAATGACGCGTGAGGTGATCTTCGATATGGACAAGGCGGAAAATTATGGGTGTTATGTGTCAGCAAGGCCAATCACGCGAGAAACACATCAATCTATTGTCGATTATGTTTCTAATAACCTCACACGGAAGTGTTACTTGTTGCGTGCGCGCTTTCATTGCTATTGATGGAAACTCTGACTGATAATGGAGTTTCGATCAATTTTTCAATAAGAAGAAGCGAAAAGAAAAGCGAGGGGAGAATTGTGCCACAAGGATGATAAAAAGATTTATTTTCAATTTCACCGCTCAAATTAAAATATCTAGGCAACATAAATGTCGAGAACAATCATGAAAGTCTTGCTAAGCTGTTTCGAGAATGCCTTAATTTTTCAGACGTGTTTTAAATTACGAATGTTTCTGTTGTTTAGCTATAATAGCTCACAAATGTCTCTTTCTGCCGCTGATTAAAAGAACAGATTCTCGTGTAATAACAGCTAGCTTTTTATCGACGGACATCCGAACTTCTTCATCGAGTGAAGAAATAATTCGAGTTCGGCAATGGCTCTGGCTATGCTCGGAGAACTTATGCGTGTATTATATAGATAGATGTCTAAGGAAAAATTATGTATAGACTGGAATTCAGCGGTGGAATCGACAAAACATATAACGATCATCGTACGATCATAGTTTGTACGATGATCGGTAATATCCTGGGCGATCTGTTTATTTTCAAAATGACAGGCAAACCATATCGTGAATAATACTTAAAGTTAATACGCTTATTTAATATGAGATATTTATAATGTCCATTGTGCAATACCATTTATATATCACAGTAGAAAATTTATAAATATGTAAAGAAAGAGAAATACGAGATGGTTCTTGTTAACACCAACACGTTCCCCCGAGATATCTGTCGCTCCATTTCTGAAATAAATATGGCTCAGAGATTCCTCCGGTGAATTTAGGATTTTTTTGTAAATACGCAGCCCGGTTTGCCGCAAACGGCGGCGCAGGAAACTAATAAATATATGCGGGGCATTACGTCAGACTGATTGCGATCTCCGCTTGTTCATAGTGTAACATAAAGTGATTTATTTGTAATATAAAGAAGTCGTTTAGGGTCTAACGTAGCGCATCCCCATTGTATAATCCACGT